CTGACTGACTGACTGACTGACTGTGTTGTTTGGCTTTACTTGCTGTGATGAATACAGTATATGCTTACAATAATAGCATGCACTATTGCAACAAAGTCTGATCCTCCTTTTGGCCAATAGGAACGTGCAGGGTTAGTGTCATAAAAAAACGATAGAATACCAAAACATCACAGGTCAGTTGACATTCACACATTGTGCTAAGCCATAATACGATTTCTTAGGTTTTGGCTTAGCCTGTTGAATCTAGACGATTCTTGTTTATTCAATAAACCAGGCTTAAAAGGCCTGGCTTCAGCATGATGTGTGGACATTGCTACAGAGTACTGGTAAAAAAATCTCATAGATTTGTAAACATACATAATGCGCTTCTATACCCTCCTGCTCCATTTGTAAGGCAAATTGAGTCTCACACCAAACAGTCAATCCCAGAACTGACCTCTCACCATGGTGCTTGAACCCACTCTCTCTGCTGCAGTCATGAGGCTTCATGCAGTGGGAAAACCTCCACTTGCAAGCAGCAATTGTTGCTGAAGCAGCAACAGCAATCCACAATGTTGACTTAAACCAGGTCTAGTTTAAATCACCTGCATAGCTATTGGAGCAAATGGCAGGCAGAGCCCACCTCCCAGCTTGTTTCCTTCAGCAATGTAGCTGGATGGTACTGCACAATACAGGGGCCAAATACAGAAACAACATGCCAAGGTGTACGTCACCATGGTGAGCAACTGAGAGATGACAGTTTGCTATCTTTTGCCTTTTTAGGAAGGAATTCCTTTTGCCACAAAATTGAGGAGGCAGAGCAGGATACTTGGTGACTGGTCAATAGCCGAGCACTGATTGGCTGCAGAGAAATATAGTATAGAGCAGTGTTGTCCAAACTTGGCCACTTTAAGATGAGTGGACTTCAACTCCCAGAATTCCCCAGCCAGCATTCTAGTAGCTTTATGTTGTCCAAACTTGGCCACTTTAAGATGAGTGGACTTCAACTCCCAGAATTCCCCAGCCAGCATTCTAGTAGCTTTATGTTGTCCAAACTTGGCCACTTTAAGATGAGTGGACTTCAACTCCCAGAATTCCCCAGCCAGCATTCTAGTAGCTTTAATAGAATAGCCCACTCATGAATATTATTTGCATTAGGAGATATAGGATTCTGGCCAGGGAGGTACTCATTTTCTGTACAAGATCTAGTTGGATTAAGGTCCTTGCACAGTTCATCTGCAGAATGGCAAAGACAAATACTGCACCCATTTCTGGCAGGTACTTGTGACTCTTTCTATAAAATGCTCCTGTCAGCAACTGAGAGGTTTCAAGAGCTCTCCACCCATATCTGCCTGGGTGTGTGGCAAACAAAATTCCTGTTAAAGATTCTGTCACAGGTTGGCCTTAACACAGGATGCGCTGTGACTAAATATTGTGGGGAAAAAACACGACTTTTCTCATTTAAAAATGCTTATTGTTTAAGTGTTTGGGCTAATCCTTTAGTTTCCCATTGCATTGATTAGCATATGAATGTGCAGTTATAGGAAGAACAGAAGAAAATATACATGCAAATAAGTACACATTTTAATACTGCCACTATTAAAATTGCATCTGTACAGTCTTGCTTATGCAGTTGGCTTGCCTCTGCCATCAATGCAAAAATTCCACATTTTAAAATTTCTTAGGAAGGTATCAGCTCCATTTCTCTTCTCAACTGCTTAAGCGTTTTGGTATTTACTCATCCAGTTCTTGCCAACAAGGCTGATTGTACATATATATCATTTTCTCTTTTTCTTGAACTTCCTTCTGTTCATGGCCATAGTGAGAGCTTTTAAAATGGTATCCTTATTATTGATAATATTGTAACAGTTCAGTTGCAGTAATCTATCAAATTGTATTGGTTGGTAGGTGAGGTTCGTGGAACTATAAGGACTATCTTCTGTATATATCTGGAAGTCACCAAAGGATTTTTCCTCTTCAGTCTCGCGTTTTATTCCTTGAACAAGAGAAGAAAAGATGAGTAGTCTATCTATATGGTTGCTAGCAGTTGAAAACAACTCGATGGCACATAATCAATCAATCAATCAATCAATCAACCTACAAGACCAGAATTGTGCAGAATCATGCAGGCAATGGTTTTCCTTGTGACACCATTGTAAACCACCACTGTGATAGGGAAGTAAAATCTGGACTTTGAAGAAGCAAGATAGAGTATTGACACTTTTGAATGTTGGTGTTAGAGAAGACTCTTGAGAATACCTTGGGTAGCCAAGAAAGCAAACAAAAGGAGCACAGAAGAAATTCAGAGTTCTCACCCAAGGCCCAAATGATCAAGCTAAAATTATTATATTTTGTACACATTATTCAAAGACCCAACTTTTCTAGGAAGAAGTGGAAGAAAAGAGAAGAAGAGGACAACCAGTAGCAAGGTGGATGGGCTCAATTACAACAGTGATGGGTGCACCATTGGAAAAGTTGAAAGGGCAGGTTGGAGCAGATCATCCTGTCTTATCTGTGAAGATTTGACATCCAGAAGTTCCAGGATTTGACACCAACTTGATAGCACATAATTAATTAATTAATCAATGCATTACTTACCCGGTGCTTTGTATTTTTTAAATGTTTTATTCACCAAGGGGAAATGAAGAATAATGGGGGCCCTGGGGTCTGCAGCATTCAAAAACATGTAACACTCCTTTGGTTGCTCTTTATCGCTATCAGTCACAGCAATGTGTGGAAAAGGAATGCCTCTTTCTTCACAGTATCTCTGAGCTTGATGCAAGACCTGACATGAGAGAAGGAAAAGTTCCAAATATATACTAAGCTAAAAATCAACTATGATGATATTTTGAAATGAATCAGCTACATTACAACCAATCAATAAAACACAATTGGGTTTTAACCCAATAGAATATCTTAGCAGTATAGTTTCCAATGCAGTAAACTCCCAGTTAGTGGGAGAAATAATTTATTATGTGGAACCAGTACAATGTTAAGTACAGTATTTGTAATTGCCACCATTCTTTGAGAAAGCAAACTCAGGTAATGAGCATCAGCAGAAAAAGCTGCCAAAGAGATCAGTTCCAGAATAAGACTGAGATCTTCTCACAGAGTGAAGTAGATGTCACTCCCCCTCCCATATTCTAGTGTTGAGTCAATGCTGACACTGAGTATGACTTCCTCTTGGTACAGTCCCAGGCAGTGAATAGCATTACAGGAGTATTTGGATTTCATTTTGATCTCAGTTACCGGGTAGTAGCTGAGCACTAACTGGCTGAGACATTTCTCCTTCCTTATTAGCCAGGAAGAGCGTATTCTGAATGTCAGATCCCTGCAAGGTCTGCAGATTCACAGCATCCTAGAAGTTTAGTAGCCAGAATAACCCACTCAAGCCCTGCTCTGTTTCAAATGTGACATAGGTAGATTTGGAAGATGGAAAGCCTTGTCATCTAGAAGTTCCATAATTTTTGAAGATTTTTTTAAAATGTTCAAAAAAAATGTTTAGCTGGATCCTCTTTAAACACACAGAGAACCCACTGCACACTGAACATGCCAACCTGTGAGAATTACTTCTCACATTGATAAAAAGACTGACAATAATCAAAATAGCCAACATATGTAAACTCTCTCTCTCTCCTGGGTCCCTGGATGATGAGTTGCTGGCACAAAGCACTGGGAGCTTGATCAAGAGCTTTTAACAATCCTTGGGGCAAGGTGTGGAATTACAGACAAAACCCTCAAGGAAGGACCTCAGATAATCTTTTTTCCACTGTAGGAGGAACTGGGAATGTTGGTCTATTTAAGCTACTCATCAGGAAATCATAATGAACATTGGTTCATAAAATGCATGGCTTTCTTTGTTTATACACTAATACTCAGAAGTCAGCCACTATATAGGACAGACAGGCAGAAGACTAGCAGAGTGCATCCATGAACACCAACTA